AAACGTATTTGTAGTTTTAAGTTAAAAAAACAATTATACTTCTTTAAAAAAAAACTTACAGAAATTAAAAGTGTGAAGTCCATCTTAGCATGTTGAAAAGTTTGGATTTTTAAGATATTGTCACAGATGTACATATTCTAGGGTCAAATTACTTGGAATTTGATTCCAAATATGTTAAACTGAAGCTAAAATGAAATCGAGTGTAAATTAACCTGCTGATTTTTTGTTGCTGCTAGTTATTTTTAGGTAAGTAAATGAGGATAGAAAATAAATAAATAAATGAGGTCAGGATGTGAGATTGGCAAACAATATTTGCTCAGAGGACTCATTATTGTGATTGAATTCCAGGTAGTATTTTTAGTCATGTTTCTTTCTTACCAAAAAAAAAAAAAGATCCTGTTGTATTTTAAACAGAGATACCGAAAACCTCAATTCTATTTATGAATCTTTTTCTTTTTTAAAATGTCCCTCCTACAGATAGACACTCTAGTAGCCAGCTAACAATCAAGGGCTAACACTGTAGCTAAAAACTTCATAGTTTGTAGTCCAAAAAGAGGGACGGAGTAGTACAGAATAGAGAGTCACTAAAAACAAAGTGAAAATGGCCAGTATGCCTTGGGAAGCTCTTTACTACAATTGATAGGTGAACTCACTGGGGATGGCATAGCCTCCATAACTATATTTGTCACAAATCACTCACAATTATTACACCCAATATTCACTAGAAGGCCAAAGGATTGGATTTATATAATATTTTTCTTAAAAAATATACACTTCTTAAAACATACACATTTTATAAATAAAAAAGCAAACAAAACAAACCTGCTGCCTTCAAGTTGATTCCCACTCATTGTGACCCTGTAAGGACAGGGTAGAACTGCTCCACAGGGTTTCCAAGGCTGTAAGATTCAGTATGGATTACACCTCAACATTAAAAAAAAAAAAAAAATCCTTACAGCTGGACCAACAAGCAACATCATGATAAACAGAGAAAAGACTGAAGTTGTCAAGGATTTCATTTTGCTTGGATCCACAATCAATGCCCATGGAAGTAGCAGTCAGGAAATCAAACAGTGTATTGCACTGGACAAATCTGCTGCAAAAGACTTCTTCAGAGTGTTAAAAAGCAAAGATGTCCCCTTGAGGACTAAGGTGCACCTGACCCAAGCCATGGTATTTTCATTCGCCTCATACGCATATGAAAGCTGGATGATGAATAAGGAAGGCGGAAAAAGAATTGATGCATTTGAAATATGGTGCTGGCAAAGAATATTGAATACATCATGAACTGCCAGAAGAACAAATAAATCTGTCTTTGGAAGTACAGCCAGAAAGCTCTTTAGAAGCAAGCATGGTGAGACTTTGTCCCATGTACTTTGGACATGTTATCAGGAGGGACGAGTCCCTGGAGAAGGACATCATGCTTGATAAAGCAGAGGATCAGCGAAAAAGAGGAAGACCCTCAATGAGGTGAATTGACACAGTGGCTGCAATAATGGGTTCAAACATAGCAACGATTGTGAGGATGGCACAGGACAACCCAGTGTTTCATTCTGTTGTACAACAGGGTCGCTATGAGTCGGAACTGACTTGATGGCACCTAACCACAACAACAATCTTTATGGAAGCAGACTGCCACATCTTTGCCCTGCACAGCAGCTGGTGGGTTTGAACCGCCAACCTTTCAATTAGCAGCCCAGCACTTTAACCACTGCACCACCAGGGCTCCTTCATTTTATAAATATTGAAGTATAAATACCCCCACTCCTCACTTATAGACATGGTTAGGTTCCAAAGACCAGGTCATTATGTGAAAATCAGCCTTATGCAAAAATGAAGGATAACCACATCAAATCACAAAATATCATCTGGGACGCATTTGTTCCTCTGGACCCAAGAAGCGGAAAATGTACGTGAGCGCTGTATGTCCCATTGTTCATGAAAGGGTTACTGCCAGATGCACATCATTAATGCACAAAATAGTTGGGTAGTAGATTTTTTACTATTGTCATAAACGCAAAATATCGGATAATGAGATAGTTGGTGAGGAGTAGGTGTACTTTGTATAAAGTATAAGTATACATATACTTTATATAAAGTATAAGTATACATATACTTTATATAAAGTATAAGTATACATATACTTTATATAAAGTATAAATACTTTAACGACACTATAGGGTCACTATGAGTCGGAATCAACTCAACAGCAATAGATTTGGGTGTTACGTGCATTAGCAAACAATTTGTATTCCTAAGGTATCATTTTCTATGATTCTTGTTAATCTGATTGAACTAGGGATAGAAAAGGTATTGAGATAATTGGATTAGATTCAGCAACCATAAAATTGAGTCCAGAAGAAGATAAGATCCAAGGGTTCAAAATTAATTCTGTACCATCCATGCTATCTCAACAGAAGACTGGAAAGGTCTGACTTGGGGAGTCCCTGGATGGTACTAAAAGTTAAAGCGCTCAGCTACTAACCTAAAGGTTGGAGGTTTGAGTCCATCCAGAGAGGCGCCTTGGAAAAAAGGTCTGGTGATCTTCCAGAAAATCAGCCATCGAAAACCCTACAGAGCATAGTTCTACTCTGACACACATGGGTTGCCACGAGTCAGAGTCGACTCAATGGCAACTGGTTTGAGGGTATTGGTGGTTTAGTGGTAGAATTCACAGAATTCTCACCTTCCATGCAGGAGACTGGGGTTCAATTCCCAGCCAACGTATCTCATGGGCCTCCTGTCAGTAGAGGCTTGTGTGTAGCTATGATGCTGAATACGTTTCAGTGAAGCTTCCTCACTGAATGACTAGGAAGAAAGGCATTGCAATCCCCTTCTGAAAATCAGCCAACGAAAACTCTACGGAGCACAGTGATCCAATCTGCAACCCATCATGTGGATGGCACAGGACTGGGCAACATTTCATCCCATTGTGCATGGAGTCGCCATGAATAGGGCGGTCACTCAAGGGAAGCTAACAATAACAACGGTATTGGACCATTTTATAAAAACATTATGCAGAATCTTTCAAGGTTTTAGCCCTGGAAGGATTTCTAGGTGAAAAGGGGCAGCTGCTTCATACTCCACTTTGGTTGCCCCTTCTCTTTTCCTTTTTGTCATGACTTCAGTCAGGCCCCTTTGGAAGGTAACAGTTTGTGGCTGCAAACCCCTTTCCTTTGCCTGATCCCATTTCTTGAGTGGCCTAGGGAGATCCCACCAGGAAGTGGCCTCCTCCCCTTCACATTCCTACTACTCCTGAGAAAGATAATGAGAAAAACAAGTCCTCATATATTATCATTTTATTAAGAAACTACTCAACTCTCTCTACCATGGCTACAAGGTGCAGGGTTATCCCTTACATGAGTGGGTGTTTTAAAATCTGTGTGGGAAATGACATGCTACAAATTTAGAATTTTAAAAATTGTAAGGGGAACATTTTTTCAAGAGTAACCTTTTACACTTCTCCCTTTCCATTGGCTGTGTGGAAATAAACAAAGACCAACAAACGAGAACAAACAGGCTATTTATCCAGAGCTTGCTATAGCAAGGTAATCAACCACCATCACTTGATTTGGTAGAGACTCAAAGGCAGGCAGCTTTACAGCGAAAATAAGGTTAAGTTTCGGGTAGGCTGATTGAAGGTTGTTGGCATGGGGAAGCTGGAGGCGGGCTAACTAGAAGCCGGGGCATCTTATGTGATTGGTTTCGGGAGCATATTTGGCTTTCTCTGATTGGTTCCGAGTTGGAAGCGGGGCGAAAAATAGGGAAGCTGGCAGTCACTGACCAAGTCCTGACCGTTCTTGGCTGATTGCAACAGAGGCTGTCGTTTGACTTCCCGAGCCTGCTGCTGCAGAGGTTGTGGGTCAGAGTTATGTCATATATGGTCTGGCCACTGTTCCCTTGTATATTCAGTCTCTTAGCTGGGTGAGACCCAGGTTTATGTTTTCCCTCGACCTAGTTCGCTTTCTAGCTCCAAACTTTTGTTTTACCTAGGACAAGATCGCATTCTTGTTATCTCTGTTAAGGATAAACAGAAGCATCAGGGTCGTGTATAAGAAAAGTAATTATGAGAACAAATACATACTTAAGTCTTTGTAGTGAGGGTCAGGCACGAGAAAGCAGCATCTGCCGCCTTCTGGTTTTTCATTTCCTTACAGAACGACTTCCATTGTACTGACTCCTCAGAAGCTTTCGCCCTTCTCAGGGGGAGGTCTGGCCTCCTCCACTCCCTCTTTTCTGGAGGACTGACGACTGGAACCAGGAGCACAGGGTCGCTGCCTCAGTCCCCGGCCGGCGCCCCCCGCACCGTCTCCGGGACCCGGTGGTCCAGCCTCCTACTCAAGGCGCGCTCTCCCTGCCCTGCCGCCCCCTGCGCCCGCGCAGCGACCACCTCGCGCTCTCCGGGGTGGATCCCCGGCCCCTCACCCCTCAGGAGCGCCTTCTCCGCCCGCCCGGCCCCCTTTTGGCCACCACCCCGGGCGCTTGCCGGCACCTCGAGGACACTCGCTCCGCGCGTTCCTGGATGGAGGCGGCGCCCTGGAGGGGCTAGGACGCGGCTCGTTCCGTCCAGCAGCAGCTCCCCAGTCCATGGGAGAAGTCAGGTCAGCTCTCCCGTCCCCGAGCCGCTGCCCGAAAAGGCCGTTCTCGGAACGTGCCCTTGGGTCAGTAGTAAGCAGATTCTCCTCTGGTCGCAACCTCCGATTTTCACTTTTGAAGGGCAAAGGCAGGGTGGACTCTTCCCACCCCTCATTCCCCAAACATTTCTCCTCAGCTGTGGAAAAAAGAACCCCTCCTTTCTCTTCAGAAAGGAAACTGTATTTCCCCTTCAACTTTTCCCCCAAGCTGGACACCCGCTGGTCCCCCCTTCCGTGTGGGAGAACGGTCCTCCATTTTTCCCTCAGGGGGCCTGCCTGGGACGCATTTCTCCTTCCGCGATGCAGGCAAGGCCGTGACGCCGCGGCGGGCGCAGCAGCTGCAGCGGCCTGCGCTCTCGCCATCTTGAGTGGAGGAGGAGCCGCGGCCGCCGCCATGCGGAGAGACAGGGAAAGAGAGAGGGAGGGAGGCAGCGGGGGAGCGGGCGGGCGAGCGAGGGAGGGGGTAGGGGAGTCGAGTTAGTTCAGCTCCGGCGGCGACTTCGGCGGCTCGGTGAGAGCGGGCAGCGGCGGAGGTAGGGCTGGATGGGCCTGGGGAGCCGGGCCGGCGCTGGCTGCTCTGTAGAGCGGCCTCAGGAGCGGGGCGGGGGCAGGAAGAGGCCGAAGCGAGGGGGCCGGGTGGGGGTGGGCGGAGGTTTCCGAGGAGGAAGGAGCCGCCGCCATTTTGGGAGCTTCGAGTCAACAATAAAGGACCGAGGGTGCCTAGCGGGAGTGGCCTCAGTGGTAGGACTTGGGCCTGAGCTGCGGGGAGTGGGGTGAGGTGGTGGGGCCAAGGTCTGAGGAGCCGCCGGGATTGCAGGAAGCCTCGAGCCTGGCGTGTGGGGCGCTCCGAGGCTGAGGCCTAAGGCCTGGCCCGGGCCCTGGGGAGGAAGGCGGGCAGCTGCCGGCAGCTGTGTGGGACGCGGACGCCTGAGAGGAGCAGAATATAGGAATGTCGTGCGCGGCGGGGTCCAGATACAGAGCGGGCAAAGTACTCGGAGGAGTTTTATAGAAGATGATGAGTATGGGAGAGGCAAGGACTCGGGGAGTGGTGTAGGTTATAGGGTACGCGGCGGCCCTATAGGGGGCGGCATGGATATGCAGGATTTGAGGGCCCTGTTAAGAAGAGGGCCAGCAGCTGCTTAAATTGGGATGGGGCTTTTAGATCGATAACAAGAGTGTGTTTGTGGAGCCCCCGAGCCGTGGAGAAAATGAGGGGCTTTCTGAGGTAGGGGTATCACTTCGAGGCCTGTGGAGCGAGTCCCTATTGTTTCCTGCCCGCGGAGCTGGTTCCTGGCTCATGTTGCGCAGATACGATTGCAGGGCCCCAACCCTTTTGTGTTTATGGCCAGAGGAAGCTGACTTGAAGTGTGTAAGGGAGTGAGGGTGCAGAGAACGTAGACCAGAAATTATTGCCTCACAAAACGGGGCTCCTATCATTGGCTTGTCTCTGATTTATCTCTCATTCCCTTTTCTCTTCCAGAGTCTCCTTTTTCCCCTCAGAATAAACCCCACTACAACTTGCATATCTAGCATAGAGAAACTGCGCTGCATTTGTAAACAAAAGCTCTTGTTCGAGATGACAATAATATTTTCAGTGTGAAACTATCATTTGCTAAGTACAACCTGGGAAGTGCAGTAATTAACTCCACTAGTGGCTCCTCCCAATTAGTTTATGTTTCCTTCGTATTTTTGAAAATGTAGAAATACAATTTGCAACTCTAAATTGGGAAGGGCCAGAAGGAGTATTTCTTTCTCTGAGACATAAAACTGCAGTGCAGATTTCAGCTTAATTAAGAGGGGAGCAGCTACCACATAGTCACATTTAGGATCTAGAGAGAAACGAGGTCCTGTTGTGCGTGATGGATAGTAATAATATTTAATGTTTAGGGGTTGCCCTCTTCATCCTCTTAGTGCCTTGCAGACAAGTAAGTCTCCCTGTGTGAACACGGTGATATCGTTCATCATAATAATATAAACCTGCCAAATCAGGAAACCGTTTACTACCCTGAAACTGAAATTAGGTGGCTGTTAACCATGGTCTGCTTAAGTGGTCAGTCAGATGCAGGGAAACTTAGAAATATATAGCTCTGTGTACGTGATAATTAGGATTTGCTTTGAGCAACCTGATTTTCCATTAAATAAGGAAGACATAATAAAGGAGCATTTTATAATTTCGAATTTAAGAAGCTATGATGTATGGCAAAAATAATCACTGGTTCATAAGCTAGTGTATTTTTGTTAAGAAATGTAAAGGAGTTTGAAAAAACAGGCTTTTGTTTTCTGGGATTTGTAATTAAGTTTTTATTTACTAAGTTTTTGAATGCAGTCACGTGCTGCATAACGTCCATTCAGACAACGTCCAACCACATACATGTATGTGGTCCCATAAGGTTACAATAGAGTTCAGAAATCCTGATCGGAGAACCGGACATAGGGAACGCAACAGCTTCTCAGTGGCTGTTTAGTCAATACAGGTATCCTACAGTATTCCGTCTAGCTTTACTAAGTACAGGTAGTCCCTGGGCTACAAATGCCCAACTTACAAACTTCACTTACGTACAACCCATAGTTTCGAACCTACCCTGTAGAAGTCTATTATATTAAAAATTCGAGGTACATACTATGGTTCCTAATAACAAATGGGCACTACTTTGCGATGTGCATCAGAACATTGTTATTACTGTATTATGTTAAAGATGTTTTAGTGTATCTGGAAGTATTTCTTTAATGCGTAAAAGGTACACTATATACCATATATTAAGACACGTATTTGACTGACATTAGATATGGACCATACCTAACTGTTCCGACTTATGTACAAATTCAACTTAAAGACAGACGTAGGAACAGAACTCATTCGTACTCTGAGGACTGCCTGTATATAATATGGTGTTCACACAACGTCCAGATCACAGCATCCTATCACAACATATTGTGGACGTTAAGCAACGCATGATTGTGATTCGATTTTGGGAACAGAATTTAAAAGTGATGGGAGTTGACCAGTTCTTTTTTAAAACAAATAGTTAAATTTAGTACTCTGGGTTTCTTGGAAGGGTTTATTAGAGTCACGAGTGTGCTTAGCCATTCATAGATATTTCCTTTTATACAGGAAATTTTATGTGTTTTTTATCTGTTTTTGAACAATAATGCTATTTTAAATTAGGACATACTTTTGGGAAAAAATAGTAAAATGTAGCTAATAGTTTTTTAGTAGTCAGATTTTATTAAAGTAGTTAAAGATTTTCTTGGCTGTTTTTCAGGCATAAGATTTTGAAATGTAAACATTGCTTCAGTCACTATTTTAAGGAGCAAAAACTTAAGGGAAAAAGGAACATACCACATTTTTCTTCATAAGTTCAGTTTCTATAGTTGAAACTCATAAGGGCACAAAGTTTTTTCTGAAAGTTTAAAGTTCAGGTCAGAAACTTACTTAACTCTTCAGGGACTCTCAGTTGCTGTCAGATAGAAAAAAAAAATTGTTTTGCTCTGTTCATATGTAGATTTACATTAAGTAAATTGTTTGATACATCACTGAGTTGTAACGCGATTACTAAGTATAAAGAATTACTGACTCTTAGGAGTGGCTGAAACTTTTAAAGAATTCATCAGTGAGGAAAGTGAAGCGAAGAGATTGTCATTGACAATTAATGCTAATTTAGTCATAGTATCTTTGTAGTTATCTTCTCTCCAGTTGCTTTGAACTGACAATTTTTGTTGAAGATGTTTGAAATTGATTTGTAGGTTTGGTTTTGAGGCAGTTCATCGTTGTCTTTTCTAGCCTGGATAGTAATTTGGGCTAAGTAAAAATGTATTCTTAATTCTTTAAGAGATGATTTCTTTTTAAAGGTGTTTTTTAAAGGAGTTCTTAACGAAGGAAAACAAAAGTTTTTCTAACTTTCCTATGTGTGCTAATTTAATTTTTTTCCCCCTTTGTTTCAGATTGAAGTGAGTAATTCAGATACAGCTCAACTTTGATAGAGGACTTTTTAAAAATAAAAAGTTGGTTTTGGTGCATGAGAGCAAGTTACTGCTGCTTACGGTTCAGAGACTTACAGGTGCTTGCCTGCATTGCAATAAAGGACTCATATATTGAGCAAGACTTATATTTATCTCTTCGTTTTGGAGAGCCTAATAAACTGTTATTACAGTTTCTCTACTGACTTTCAAAAGTTTTGAAGTTTGAAAGAGACATCTTTACAATTAACACAGCATGAGCACGGCCAGAACAGAGAACCCTGTTATAATGGGTCTATCCAGTCAAAATGGTCAACTGAGGGGCCCTGTGAAGCCCAGTGGTGGCCCCGGAGGAGGGGGAACACAGACACAGCAACAGATGAACCAGCTGAAAAACACCAACACAATCAATAATGGCACTCAACAGCAAGCACAGAGTATGACCACCGCTATTAAGTAAGTGTTAGAATAAACAATAATACACTTGAGGGACTGAGGAGATTTCTTTGTTGTCAACTGCTTTATGCATACCTAATTTAACTGTTTTGATTGCAAATAGAGAACATGTTTTATGCCCACTAGGTATTTGCAGTGGCACAGAATATATTTCTGCCGTAGTTAATTATGGTTTATTAAGTAATAAACAGGCACAGATGGTAGATACCAGTTTTGTATAGATTATTTTTTGAAACATTTCTGGCTTTCGTAATTATCTCAGTATAGAAGTTATTAGCTGAGTTTGTTATATGTGAGTGAAATAATCAGATTCATTTTATTTTTGCCAGTAGAGTTTTCTAGTATTACAAGGGCACCTTAAATCTTAGTTTATTAAGCATCAGTTAAAGCCAGTTTCAAGTTTTAAATTTAAAGAGTCATATTTGCCCAGCCTTCTGAATTCCAGGCATGTTCACTTATAGAAAATTTACCCATAACTTTTTTTGTAGTTTATAGAACTTTGGTTTTCTACCTTTAAAAAGCTTTTCCCTCTTTTTACACACACACAAAACAAGAACCTATTATAAATCGTAGTGAACTCAGGATTTTGAACTCTTGGAAACGCCCATTTCTGAATAGTCCCAACCCCCTTTGTTGACTCTTAAGAATTTAAGAGGCTTGTCTTACTATAGAATATTTTTTCTCTCAAAGCTGTAAGTTTGTAGTCTGTTAGGTTTACGTGCACATGTTAAATGATTTGAATGGTAACTGTCACTCTAAAAAATACAGTTGTAGGAAATTAACATCTAAGACTGTTTAACCCCATTTGAGATTTGGTTTTTGTTGTTAAGAATCTAGCCATATAAATTCATTTAACATCTAGAAATCTTCATAAGGTGATGAAACTTTGGTTCACCGAACTAACTGTGTGTTTTATTACAACAACCTAGATCCCTTCCATGCTTAAGAAGCACTTTCTGAAGAAATTAGCGCTCATAAGCTACCAGGATGCTACATAGATGTAGTTCTCTAGCGACCTATAAGAATTAATTCTGAGTTAAATTGATTTGTTCACTGGGAAAATTGGCATTAATGCATATTCTAGTTATCAGGTGAATGCTTTAATAAGTATAGAAAAAGAATATCAAGTCGTAGTTTGTCTTTTGATAAAATATGAATAAAAACCCATTGCCATCGAGTCGATTCTGACTCTGGTGACCCTGTAGGACAGAGTAGAACTGCCCCATAGGGTTTCCAAGGAGCAGCTGGTGAATTTGAACTGCCAGCCGTTTGCTTAACAACCAAATGCTTAACCACTCCACCGGTATGAATAGGTTAGCAGAATTTAGACTTTTTAATTAAGGATAGAATCATATAAATCTGTTATTTCGTGATGACACAGTATTTTCTGTTTAAACAATTTGTTAATTTTTTAAACAGTTTGTTTTACTTTTCCCAGGATTAATGGTTTCATTTCAATTCAGTCACTTCTTCAGATGTCAGTTCACGTGTCATCTCTTCCATGAAGGCTTCTAGATCCCATCAACTGTCTCAGAACTCTTCTAATACCTCCATCACTTATTTTTCTCAGTTTCAATAGTTATTCTTTGTTTTGACCTCATAAGTCCCTTGTAGAGAGATTTTGCATTAGTGTCTTTTCCATTTTTATTCACTGTTGAATTTGACAATGTGGCAGGTCTGTTGTGATGAACTGACATTTTTGCTTAGAAACTTCGATGTTACTGACTGAGGTGAAGGATTTAGTATCCATACTAGTAAATGGTTATCTGTGTTACAGACTTTTGGATTATGTGGGGCCTTGCTTTAAGTAAAATAAGTGCTTATCTTTCTAAATCAAGACTGAGATGTTTTAGGGGCTCCTGTTATATAAGAATAGCTGTAGTAAAAACATTACTTACTTTAAAGATACACAGTTAAAAGCACTACTGTCTGCAAACATTTCCCAACAATTTTTTATTAGATGCTTTGGGTATTAATTTTATTGAGATTTTTTATCTGACCAAAAGGAAAATTTTGTTCTGTTTGTATTTTCCTTTTTATTCTTTTTCATGTTTTCAAGCATCCTCAGTAAAAAGATTAAGAGACATGCTCATTAACAGCAAATACTGAGTTCTTATTTTGTCAGGCACTGTGCTGAAGGCTTTATAGAAATTGCTTTTTATAGTTCTTAATAACCCGTTTTAGATATGAGAGAAGGAGGCCTAGAAAAGTAACTGGTGCAAAGTAGCAGAAGTAGGAGAGTCAAGACTTCAACTGAGGTCTGAAATTTCAGAGCTCTTAATTTTAACTAGTCACCAAAAGTTATAAACTCAGATGCCTACAGGACTGTGCCAAATTAGAGGGTACTTAACCTGTTTGGGAGCCCTGGTGGCCACAGTGAGTTAAGTGCTTGGCTGCTAACCGAAAAGGTCAGTAGTTTGAACCCAGCCAGCAGCTCCCCGGGAGAAAGATATGGCGGCCTGCTTCTGTAAAGATTACGGCCTTGAAAACCCTATGGGACAGTTCTACTCCGTCCTACTTGGTCGCTATATCAGCAACAACGGTGGGTTTGGTTTGGGTTTGGTTTTTTGCCCTATTTAAAGGAGACAGCTGCTTGATTTTAAATTCTACTTACTAGGTGCTATGAGACTGTTACCATGGAAGAATTTGGAACTGGTGTTGCTAAAGCATCCAATTTTTCAAGAAAAATTAGAATCTAGACTTTTACATGAAATCACTTAATTTTTCTTGTTGGCAACTAATTTAAATTATCACATCCTTGCACTATGAAGGTCAAACAAAACATGGGTTGCAGATGAATGCTTTACTCACTTCTATTTTTGATTTTTGATCCTCTCTAGATTGTTTCTCTTTGTAAGCAGAACACTTTTTCTAAAGTTGTTTGACTCTGTTGTTAGCTATATTCTTAAGTAAATGGCACTATATTAAATTTACCATGCTTGTTCAGAAGTTAGTTATAATTGAGATGAATCATCTTTGTATTATTAGAATATTGATGCCATGAATTCTGAAACTTCAGTTTTATTATATTCTCTGTAGACCTGGTGATGACTGGAAAAAGACTTTAAAACTCCCTCCAAAGGATCTAAGAATCAAAACTTCGGTAAGTTGGTTGAGAAATTCAGGGGGAAAAGTGTTGTAGAAACTCTAGAAGTGAAGTAGTTACTCATAGTAACAATAAACGCTATGTTTACTCTTAAGTAGGTTGAAATTACTCTAATTGTATAGACCGTATATTTTGAAAGGCCAAAAATTTCCACCATTCCTTGAAATATTTACTTATTTACATAATGATAGATGGTGTATTTATAGTATATAATGTATGATTATAATATGTACATCTTACAGTCTAGTTTATGGAATACTTTTAATGGTTTTCAAGGCATTTTCTCAGAATTCTCTTTTGTTGCCAACAACTGTAAGATAAACAGACTAGATTTTATCCCCATTTTGTGAATGAGAAAACTGAAGTTCACAGATGTTAGCTCACTTAGCCCAGTGTTCTCAGCCAGGGCTGATTTTGCCACCCCCCCCCCGGGGACATTTAGCAATGTCCAGAGACATTTTTGGTTATCACAACTGGGGAGCTGCTACAGGACAGCCCCCTACAACAAAGAATTTTCTTGCCCAGAATGTCAAAAGTGCTGAACTTGAGAAACCCTGGTTTAGCCAAGCATATTTGTGGTTAATGAGTGGTGGAACCAGAATTCGACCCTACTACCTCTGTGACTTCCAGTTCACAACATGATACTTGTGTGTATAGAAAATAACAGTATTCTACCAGTCCTTAGAAGAATGTGACCAGAGGATGGCTTTTTCCCAAAACATAGTTTTTAAGTGGCTTGTGTGCGTTGAAGGGAGAGTAGTTGTTCTTCAAGAATAGTTGAAATATATAGATCAAGACAGAAGTAATCTGCTTATGTTTATATTTAAGATGGAGTAGGTAAAGAATTAGCCTCTCAGACAAGTTTCTTAAGCATATTAACTACCAAAGGAACACAGTTGTACTTTATTCTGTTTTTCTTGTTTGTTTGGCTAGGATGTGACCTCCACAAAAGGAAATGAATTTGAAGATTACTGTTTGAAACGGGAGTTACTAATGGGAATTTTTGAAATGGGCTGGGAAAAGCCATCTCCTATTCAGGTATGTTTCACCCTTTCATAGCGTATGTAATGTTGTAAGTTGATTCTAAGCATTACATTTCTTTTTGATCTATGGGAACGGTACAGTGCAACCTGTTTTCTCTTTCTCTTTGTTGTTCTCCATTTCTCTCTCTACTTGCATGCAAGCACATGCACTCACACTATCTTTCTGAACCTTTTAAAGGTAAATTATAAAATCATGGCCCTTTACTTCTAAATATTTCAATGTATATTTTCTAAGAATAGGGCTATTCTCTCATATAATACAGTTATCATTTTTAGTCAGTTTAACATTGATAAAATATTTCTACCTCATCAGTTGTATTCCAATTTTCAGTTGACTCCAGACTGTCCCTTATAGCGTTTTTTTTCTTCTGTACAGGATCCAGTCTAGGATTAGACATTGCATTTAGTTGTTCTGTCTCTTTAACCTCTTTTTTTTTTTTTTAATTTTATTTATTTTGTTGTTGCTGAAAATATACACAGCAAAACATACACCAATTCAACAGTTTCTACATATACCATTTGGTAGCATTGATTATATTCTTTGAGTTGTCAACCATCCTCACCCTCCTTTTCTGAGTTGTTCCTCCCCCATTAACACAAATTCACTGCCTCCCCAAGGGGGGGCAGTTGCTGTTACCAGTTTGGTTCCCTGTAGATAATTCTTAAAAGAGCATAATGCTCAAGGCAGGCATTTTTTACTAGTTAAGCTAAACTATTGTTTGGTTTTAAGACTTCAGGGGATTTTTTGGTTTAAGGTTTAAAGATTATCTCAGGGCAGTAGTTTCAGGGGTTCATCCAACCTTCACAGCTCCAGAAAGTCTAGAGTCCCTCAGAATTTGAAATTCTGTTCTACATTTTCCTCCTTTTGATTGGGATTCTTCTATAGAATCATTGATCAAAATGTCTTTAACCTCTTTTAATTGTGAACATTTCACTAGTGGTTTTTTTTTCTTTTTTTTTTTTTAAATATTTTACGACGTTGACATTTTAAAAACAGCCCTCCCTCCTTTTTCTTGGGATAAGTATATATGTAGCAAAACACTTGCCATTTCAACATTCTTTGCATTCTTTGCAGTGACTTTAACTCATGTTCATCATCCTGTTCAACCATCACCCTTACCTGTTCCCAGATTTTTCTGTCGCCCCTCTTTATTTAATAGAAACTTTCTCATTTTGGGTTTGTCTGATGTTTCCACATAATTAGATTGAAGTTTGCGTTCTCAGCTGGAATACTGCAGAAGTCACGTTGTGGCCTTCCAGGATATCACGTTTGGAGGCATACACAACGTCTGTCCATCCCTCACTGGTGATGTTAATTTTGATTACCCTGTCAAGGTGTTGTCCGATTTTTCTGCTGTGTAATTACTTTTTTTCCCTCCCTTGAAGCTAATCAGCAGTCTGTGGGGAGCACTTTAATATCATGCAGATATTTTGAGGTGAAATTCACCTAACATAAAATTAACTGTTATAAAGTGAACAATTCAGTGGCATTTAGTACATTGACAGTGTTGTGCAACCCCCACCCCTATCTAGTTCCAAGACATTTCATCACTCCAAAAGAAAACCCTATACCTATTAAGCAGTACCTATTAAATACTCCTTTCTCCCCTCAGCTGCTGGCAACCACCAGTCTGCTGTCTCTGTGATTTACTTGTCTGAATGTTTCATGTAAATGGAATCATACATTATGTGACCTTTTATATCTGGCTTCTTTTACTTGGCATAATGTTTTCAAAGTTTGTCAAGTTGTAGCATGTATCAGTATTTCATCCCTTTTTATTGCTAAGTAATATTCCACTGAATGTTATATACCATATTTTGTATCTGTTCATCCATTGATGGATTGTTTCTACCTTTTGGCTTTGAATAAAGCTGTCATCCATTGATGATTCTTTGTTTATACCGTGATGATTACAAAAATGATGAGTTTCCAACTCGAGCATTCCTTCCACAGTTGGCCCTACAAAGAAGAGCCTTTAGTTATTCCCACCTTATATATCTATTATCAGTATGACTCCTGAATTTGTTTGTTTCCAGCAGTATTTTTGTGTTCAGATTGTCCTAGATTTGGCCAGTGAGAGCTCTTTGATGTACCCCCTTCATTTTTCTTGAGCACTTACTTTCTGGAATAACATGGATGCCAGGCTTATTTACCTCCCCTGCCACAGCTTTGGAATCAGCCATTTCCCCAAGGGGCCCTGATTCCTGTTATTGGGGGGCAGTGTTAAAGATGTGGCAGTCAGCTTCCATAAAGATTACACCTTGGAAACCCTATGAAGCAGTTCTGTTCCGTCCAGTAGCATCACTATGAGTTGAAATCGACTCGATGGCAATGGATTTGGTTTTTTTTTTTTTAATTGAAGACCAAGTTCTGGGGACTGGCGCACTCTTTTTCTACTAGGGCTTTTAGTGGAAAGAACAATAAAAAGATACATATTCATGTATACATAAATATGCATTATACATGCAAGTTTGTGAGCATGTGTTCATTGTCTTAAGTTTATAAAACGGTTCAATCCAAGCTGGGCTAAGGACAAAAACCCTGTGACACCATTCAGCACTTTTTCATTGAGCAAATATGTACTGAATGACTTACAAGGTGTTAGGCACTGGGGATACTGTGATGAACAAGGCGGATAGGATTCCTGCCCTCACAGTCTGGTGGAAAGGATGCCTAATTGTACGTGTAATTCCAGTATAGCATGATGGACACATTTCTAGTTGAAGATATATAGTCCTAAGGGAAAGATGGAATAACCTGCAAGAAGTGATCCATGTTCCAAGCAGAGAATACAGTGGTGATTGACCAGAGGTGAGAGTGTGCTTTGTGGGCCAACCAAAAGTTTATTATGACTGGAGAGAACATCAAGATAAGGCTATGTATTATCAGATATATAGGCAACTTGGGTGCAAATATAAAAAGTATTTAGACGTCTGCTTTTTTATAGTGCAATTCATGTTAATTTATCTACAGGAATGAAAAGACTTATGGTGAGTTCTTCTACTCTAGAGACTGTATCATTCAACTTTGTACCTCCAGTATTTAGCACAGCAGCACCTGGCAGACAGTAGGCTTTCAATGTTCAGTTGTACTTAAAATACTTAAGGTTACCTATGTCTACAGGTGAACGTGGTCTAGGGAAGTATTTAAGAGCATTAACTGCAATCAGTCTGCCCTGGTTGAATTCCAGTTCTCCTCTTTTCTGAGTTAATTATTTGGGGTACCTCTCTAAGCCACAGTTTCCTCAGCTGTAAAATTGGAGTAGTAGTATATTACATAGGGTTGTTTTGTAGGTTAAGTTAGATAATTAGAACAAGTATACTTAGTACAAGGAGCCCTGGTGGTGCAACGATTAAGTGCTTGGCTGTGAACTGAAAGGTCAGAGGTTCGAAGCCACCAGCTAGTCCACGGGTGAAAAGACCTGATGATCTGCTCCCCTAAAGGTGACAGCCTAGGAAACCCAATGAGGCAGTTCTATTCTGTCCTCTAGGATTCCTGTGAGTCAGAATCAACTCAGCAGCTCACGGCACACAACATGCTTAGTACAGTGCCTGAAACCCACTGCCATGGAGTCATTTCCAACTCAGAGTGTCCCCATAGGGTTTCCAAGGCTGTAAATCTTTATGGAAGCAGACTGCCACATCTTTCTCCTGAGGAGCCGCTGGTGGTTTCGAACCACTGACTTTTCGGTTAGCAGTCGAATGCTTTAACCACTGTGCCACCAGGGCACCTTAATGCAGTGCCTAGTACATGATAAATGCTCAATAAATGTTATGGACTATTATCTCATTTAGTAGTTCTATCAAAAAAGGAAATTTGGTTAATTTAGCAGACCTAATTCTTGATGGACCATTGTTGTGTGCCTTCGAGTCAGTTGTGACTCATAGCGACCTTACAGGACAGAGTAGAACTACCCCATAGGGTTTCCTGGACTGTAATCTTTACAGGAGCAGATGAGTCAGATGTTCCTCACCCACCCCCCGCAGAGCTGCTGACCAGATCTCACAGCCTAGCACTTAACCATTGCTCTACCACGGCTCCTTCGATGGACCCTTACTGGCTCCTGTTTCTCATCTTGTGTTAAAATTTAAAATTGACTTTGTTACTTGTACACTCAGTATTGATATATAGGTAATTAGTGCTCCAGTCACTGCCAGTCTGATATCTAGCTTTTTCTGTAAAGTAGAAATAATAAGGCAAGCTCCCTCAGGGTTTTTATCGTGACGGTCAGATGTAAGCTATAAACAAAGTGTTTTGAACTAGCAGAACACTGTATAAGTATCAGTATTACTTTAGATACCTAAGACTACCATTCATATTGTCTGTCTTCCCTGTTTTCTCCTGAGAATTCATGGAAAGCACAAGATGTTACTTAGAATCATTGGGTAAAAAGCCATAAGTATTAGGATTTTAGAACCAAGAAGGAATGTAGAAATCTTACTAGTAAAATCCCGCCTCATGACTGGCTGGTTGCTTGCTGCTATTCTTTCCATTCTTATTCATCTTCTCTTCTTGTTTTTCCTTTTGTTTTTCCCCTAATACGTATCTATTGTCTTCTAATTATTCTGTTGTTGATTTCTACTTTTATGGCTTTATGGTCAGAAAGATGCTTTGTAATATTTCTGTACTTTGGATTCTGTTAATGCTTGCTTTATGGCCTAATAAGTGATCTATTCTGGAGAATATTCCATGTGCATTGCAAGAGAAAATATACTTGGCTGCTGTTGGGTGGTGTGTTCTGTATATGTCTATAAGATCAAGTTGGTTGATTGTAGCAATTAAGTCTTCCGTGTCTTTGTTGAGCTTCTTTCTGGATGTTCTGTCCTTCACCGAAAGTGGTGTGTTGTAGTCTCCTACTACTATCATGGAGCTGTCTGTCTGTCTTCTTCAGTGCTGTTAGAGTTTGTTTTATGTATTTTGGAGCCCTGTCGTTGGGTGCGTAAATGCTTAGTGTAGTTACGCCCTCCTGGTGTATTGACCCTTTAATCATTATA